CCCCCCCATTTTTTGTCCAATCCATAATATTCTTCAATTTACTCAAGTCATTTTTTATTTAACTTTTCATCAATGACCACAGATTTAGTCATTCAACAGTTTCAACAACATTTAACCTCTCATGGGAAAATGTAATTTAATTTAAGGCTTTTACTTATGAAGATTTATTTATTTTTTCAGTTGCTCCTTTCTGCAAGGGTTGCCACAGCAAGCAAACTCACACAAAAGATCTGTTAGTTGTTTTCTGCCAGTTGTCCATCTTGACACAACCTGAGTTCAAACCTGCCACCTCAGGCTTGTGAGACTGCAGCACCAACCCCTACATTTCAGTGGCCCAAGACTTTTACATATCAAGACACTGTGAAAGTGATCTGGCTGTTACCAGGTTCGAAAATTGTTCTAATCTAACCTCAAGTGAACATAACCGTACAACAGATTCCATCATGTCATTCAGTGAAAACAAAGGCAAAAGTGAAAAGCAGCGTGCAAAATCTTTAGTCCAGCCTCTGTTCCAAGTGCAGAATGGATTTTACCAGCAGGGACTTTCAGTAGTGGTTTTCTGTAGTTTATTGGTTACCTGTATGGCCATGGATCAGTTTTGGCTCACTTTTCTTTCCAACATAGTTGGAAATGATTAGTTGGCTTCATTGGTTTCTGCACTTTTTTCTTAAGGCCCTTCTACAATATTTCAGTCAGGTTGAAGTATTGAGATTGACTGGAGCATTGCAACACCATGGCTGCGCGTTCACACTGCAGGCAAATGCGACCCAAATCAGATTTTTTATGACAGTCTGAACACAACAAATCTGATTTTTTCAAATCCAACCCCAGTTGTGGTAATAAATCTGATGTTTTCAAAGTGACTGCAGTCTGAACGCTCATGTCACATTCCACATCTGACTTTTCCATCAGTGAGGTGGGGCTGAAGGATGGATAAGGTACTAACCTCAAGTCACGCTGTTTAAATCTGTAGCTCTATGTGTTTACAGCTCCAAAACAGAAGTCCAGTTGCTTCTTCTTTTTACTTTTAATTTTCCATCATGTAGATAGTAACGTCCAGCCTGGGTCGCGGAGCGTATCGATCCTAAAGTTACTCGGTCGATACATTATTTCTAGCCTGGTAAAAACCAGACCCTTGTCCTTCACTTTGCTTCGTACGAGGGTCTGGACTCGCGGCCATAGAGAAGCGATTCTTGCTGGAGGTGTGGCCTCTGCTGAAGTGTATGTGTGTGTATGTCGCTGTGAAGGAGGTTAAGCTAAGAAGCTAACCGGAAATCGCGTGTGCTGTAAACAACCCTACTGAGAGGAGAAAAGTACCGAGCTGAATGAGACGACTGTAAATGAGAGCTGCTGCTTTGTCAGACAAATTTAATTTAATTTGGAAGCCTTATCATCACGAATTGGCTTCATTCATTTCCTCCACTGCCGTATGCTAAAATAACTAGCAGACACTGCGCAGAACATCAACGTCATTCAAAACTCCGCCTTCTATTTGCTGATTGGCCCAGGTAAAATAAACTACAAGCACACACTGCGCAGAAAATTGGCGTTCTGTTCTCTGATTGGTTCAGCTAAAAGTCTGCCAGTGAAATCCTTGTCTATGGGAGAAATCCCAGATGGAGCAGTGAAGGGAAACTAGAATTGAGCGGAACTGCATAGGAAGGCAAGGGTCAGGCTACTTTATTTCCAGCTCGTTGCTTMGTTCCAAAACGAAAAGCTTCACCGGAGCATCCAGTCAAAGGCAGGTTCAGATATAAACACTGAACAAGACAAGCATGTCAGATAATTATTTAATCAGCTCTGATTAAACAATAACTTCAGATTTGACATGCTAATAATAGCATCCATGCTAACGCTGTAAACAAACAAGCCGGCTGAATGAGAAGTCAAGTCTTTTACTGCGCATGCAGGTTACACCAGTGCTGTGTAGAGTTCACACTGGAGTCTGATGGAGGTCACATTTAAAATGTAATGTGAATGTTCACAACAAAAGATCGGATTTGTTCAAAGGATCAGAATTGAGCATTAAGACCTGCAGTGTGAACGTAGCCTTTTTCTGTTTTTCAGTAGTTCTGTTGTAGATTAGCTGCTGCATTTGGAATCACGGTTCTGTTGCATCATGACACAGTTTGGTTCAAGCTTCACTAGTCGGACAGATGGCCTCATATGTGACTCTGAAATACTCTGGTCCACAGAGGTGGTCATGGTTGGCTCAGTACCTGCATGGTGTCCAGGTCATGAGGCTGCAAAACAAGCCCAAATGATCAGCCCTCCACTACCGTGCTCACAGTTGGTGTGAGGTGTTTGTGCTTATTTTGTTGTGTTTGGTTTCCTCTAAACATGTTGCAGTGCATTATGGGTACACATTTCTGTTTTGGCCAAAGGACATTGATCTTGAAGTCTTAATATTTGAAAAGGCTGTCTCGTTCAGTCCTTCCAAACAAGCTAAYTGACCTGTGATTAACTTTAACATTTAACTTTCTGAGACCTGTAGAGTCTGAGATGGAGGAGCTCTGTTTTGTAATTTCTCTGAGCATTGCACGGTCTGGACTTGGGGTGAAGTTGGGACATCCACTCCTGTGTTTGGAAAAGGCCTCATAATCCTTTGTTAAGGGCTCGACACACGGGAGGTGACGTCGCTCGCTCTCCATTCATTTCCTATGGAGCCTGTGCGGTGAAGCGACAATCGCTTGCCCTCCTCCAGCTAAGCGACCGGYGAAAATAGTGCATGTGAAATTTCGCGCTCGTACACGTTGACGTGCACACGCGAGCTTGCGWCGTGACATATGAAAGTTGAAAAATGTTCAACTTTTGTCGCTGTCGCTTAGCGTACAACCAATCAGCGAGGGTTTCATTGACTGACCAATGAGAGGAGAGTATGCTACACACTGCCGTCAGCTAACACTTTCACCAAGTGTTTACTAAAAAGCTTTGTGGGAATTTATCGGCACCAGGGTGAAGTTTATGGTAAGTTTTTCCTCATAAAACTGTATCTTGATGTGTGTTTGTTTTTCAATATCATTAGCATCGCAATATTTGTTTAGTTTACACGTCCGTAATGCACATCCCCCTTCAGAGTCAAGAACCAATCAAATTTTGTGGAGACAAGCGACCTGAGAGCGCRATTCGCAACGCTGCAATCGCTATCGCATCCCGTGTGTCGGGTTTCACCCTGGCTGCGATGACAGCCGTTAATCGCTGTAGTTTGTCGCTGCCCGTGTGTCGAGCCCTTTAGGCAGCAACAGTTGTGTTTCTGGGCTCATTAAGCCTCATGCAAGAACCGATTGTACGAACAGATTTGTTCTTAAGTTGTGCGAACGAGTGATTTAGGAGAACTTGTGACATTCACCAATTTTCTCATATTGTAAGATTTTTTTTCAGATACAAAATTCACGAGTAGTCCAGACCTGTCGTATATTTTACGAGCAGCCTGTCTACTATTATCCAGACTGATTTTTCTCATAATAACTTTATATTTCATTAGTTTGAAGACATTTCGAGTTGAAAATAAATCACACTCCATAATTATGTTGACAAGAGGCTATTCTTTTGAATTAGAATTAGAATTTTAAATGTAAAAATGTAGACTAACAACATAAATTGTTTAAATTAAATTAAATTAAATTGGCTATTAATTCTGTTGTATAGCATTACAAAATTAATATGAAGTTAAGTGAAGTTTGGAGACATTTTAAAATGCCTTTTTTTCCAGAAACGCAACTGACACTTGCGACGGCCTGTGACACGACCCACAGGAGACACAACATTAACAGCAGTCATCATTTTATTCCTTTAATTCCACAGCTGACGCTGCTAAAAATGTCAGATTTTCTTTTCTGGATCTCTGACAGCAGGACTTCAATCTCAGAACTTGTAAAGTTCTTCTTTTTACGTGTTATTTATGAATGGACACTTCCTGTTATGTGGGGCAGGAAACATAGACTTACATGGTGTTTTAGGGTGTTAGATTATGCTAACCTCCTCTCCTCGTGCGCAAGCACCTGATACGCATTCATCAGTTTATGCTGCTCATTAAAATGCTTTTCCTGAAGATAGAAGAAAGTTTGTTGAATCTGACATGCCATGTTTGTACGAACCCTTCGTACGAACAAAAGTAAGAGAAATTTAGGGTAAGAATACAAACATGTTCTTGCACGAGGCCCATTGTTCATGTCGTTCCTCCTTGGTATTGTGTTAACACACACACCTGTGTACTCTAGATCAGAGAACTGCAGATATGAAGCAACTTCTTATGTTTTGCTGATGATTAGTTTATCAGTGCATTTGATCAGCAACTCCTGACTCCTACTTTCCCTCCTGAATCCTATTTCCTAATCCTAAATCTGCAGCAAAACAGGACTTGTTTGGTTTTTTTACATTTTAGTTTTTTGTTTTGTTTTGTTTAATAAATGCATAAAACTGGAATCTGCTGTGTGTTTTAGTACACTTTGTTAGATTAGAACAATTTCAGAACCTGGTAAAGACCAGATCCTTTTTATTTTGTCAAATTACATAAAACCAATTGAAACAGGGTGTTTGTTTTTTCATTACAGTATAAAACAATAATGAATTTACATTACCTTAGATGATTACTGGAACTTTTATTGATGTTCATTACGTTACTCTGCCATGTTTCTACAGTAGCAGTACAGAATAGACAAACCAAGCATTGACCCAAGGGAAGATTTCGTGTTTTTAGTGGGATTTCTTTAACGTGTTTTGTCCRTGCTGGGAGAGAAACTGAGGTGGAGTTATTCAAGTGTAGCAAAATACAACTCACTAAAACCTACAGACTGAACCTTTAAAAACTGAGAGCAGAATAACAGGAAAAATCTCTGAAGCACGCCATCATTGGTTTTAAAAAAATAGAAGTCTGATGTGACAAATTAACACCACTGACATCTGATAGACCAGAATTCTGTTACTTCCTGAAAATAATCGCCCAACTCATTTTTATTTTAAGTTTTATTTAGGAAACACAAAAAGTTTAACCAAAACATTTGCATGACAGTTTTTGTGTTTCCTGAAAAACTTGAACAAAATGAGTTAAATGTTTTTTTTAGGAAGGCAACGGTAACACTTCCTGTGTGTAAATCCAGTCTTTTCATTGGGCTTTGTCTCACTTAATATTTTTCTAGATTCTGTTTCAAAATGCACATAAACATCTAAGAAAAAATAAACAATCAGGACATTTGGCTGTTGTGTACCTTTACTAAAAGCAGCTTCTTAGATTTTTTTGTATAGCACCTTTCCAACAGTTACAAAGTGCTTTTCATCACATAGTAAAATCAAAACACATAAAATACAAAGCACAACATGCTAAAATCAACAATTAAAAACCAACTCATAATAATATGTTTTTAAAAGAGGACAAAGAAGAGGCTTGTCTGATGTAAAGTGGCTGTGCGTTCCATAGAAGAGGAGCCCTGATGGAAAAGTCTCAATAACCCTCTGTCTGTAATCGTGCTCTGGGCACTAAAAGTAGTGACTGATAGATGATCTCAGAGGTCACAGGGGGTGTAAGGTGTAAATAACTCAGTAATATAAGATGGTGCAAGTCCATTCAGTGATTTAAAAACTAACAATACAATCTTGAAATCAATGCTAAGCACCACAGTGCAAAGAAGCAAGAACAGGAGTGATATGATCACATTTCTGGGTTCTGCTGAGGACTCCAGCTGCTGTATTTTATACTAATTGGAGACTTTTAAGAATTTTTTAGGCAGACCAGCAAACAGAGAATTGCAGTAATCAAGATGAAGGTTTTAGTGTCTGCAAAAAAGGTCATTGATATTATGTTGGAAAATACCTGATTTGATAATAGCCAGTTTTAATACTATATAAACCACCCCCAAGGTTTCTAGCCTGATGGGAACAATAAAAACCTGAAGAATTTGAACTATAGTGTCTCTAAAAGCTTTGGGACCAAAAACCAACACCTCAGTTTTATTTTTTAACAATAAATAGTTATCAGACATCCAGACCTTAATATCAGTGAGATGTGAAC